GTTTTAGAAAAATGCGAAGTTTTTGAGGATGATACTCTTCACTGCCTGAGTGTGTGAAAAACTCAGAAGACCATTTTACAGTTTCGCGCTGAGTGCCCTGGCCTTTGGATAGGGGCGAGGCTGGAAGTGACCTTGTTTTTTTTTTTACAAATCGTCCTGTTTTCACATGCAAATGAGCCTGTTCACGGGCTTGTTTATATGAAAATAACACGATGTGCAGATAAATTGCAGTTAAGTTTGTAACAAAACAAGGTCGCCTCCAGCCCCACATTACTTCAAAAGCTTGATCACTGGGCACACAACTGTAAGAATAGCCCATTCTAATTTTCCCTTCCTGCTAACGCACAAAGGATTGCTGTGACAATCAAGTGCTATCAACTAATGTGATGATAGTTGCTGGTTCTTTAAATTTCCTGGCAACGGTTTAAAGTTTATTAATGAACAAGTAAATGGTTATTTATTGTTAATGGAGCTCCGCTGTTAGGCGTGGTAAAATCTATATATTAAGGCTTGTTCATGTTGTTCGCTGCAAGATTTTCTGGCTCACTTCATTTTTCTGTGTTGGCGTCTTTGATTTCTATAAAGGAAAAGGAATCAGTTGCCTTTAGTTCAACACTAAAGGCAAAAACTGACGATAAGGCTGAATTGAAGCTATTATTTAATAAAACAGCCAAACCCTTTTTTAATACCAACACTAAGGAGCCCATATGAAGTGTCCGTATTTATGGGGTGTTCCGTGGACTATGTCCTCGGAGACACTCAAAAGTCACTGATTTGTCCGTAAATCCTCTATTAAGCTCCCCGGGGGACTTATTTTTTTCAAGCACTTTTGATGGGGGGAGGGGGGGTACTTAAAAGAGAGGGGGGGCTTATTTAATTTAGCGAAATGTATCAACGGGAGCAAGGTTTCTCCAGGACGGACTTGTGGTTACCGGGCGCTATACTACTTTTTCTAAAAATAAGAAAATGGTAATAATTCTCCACAGCGAACTAGAGCATAAAGTTGAAAGAGTTCTGCACATGAAGTTCGACGTCGTGCGGCCGAAGACCAAAAACAATATGAATTGCCAGCCTTAATACACCATAACTGATCAGTCCACGTTAATTCTGTGTGAAGAATAAGGATGGAGGGGAGGGAGGGGGGCTTATTAACTTTCTTCCTCTGAAAAGGGTAATCAAATAGTGACGACTGAAATTAGGGAATAATTTCACGCGCGTTTTGTCCACATCCTAATAATGTCCCGAGCCTTTAGGAGAGGTAAGTTATATGTATTAGGATTTGGATAAAACGCACGTGAAATAATTCTCTTATTTCTCGAGCATATCATTTTATTACTTATTTAGTAATATCGTAGGTGACGAATTACGATTGCAGTTGTGGATTTTTGACATGTTTATTCTGGTTTTATCGCATCGATCGGAGAACTCCACGCTCTCAAAAGTTTAGAGCTTCACTTTGGCTTAATTTTAGAATTTTCGGAATGTCTCGATAAAATACCTGTTAGAATCTGGCCTTCTTAATGTGTGTTTATGTTTTCCAAAGCGTCTTTATGCCCTGACATCTTCATTCATAAAATTTAAAAACTTCGCCGCCATCTTGGCACTGAGACGTACGAATTGAAGGTTGCCATGGCAATTTTGTAATTTTAAATATGAAATTACAAATTAGTAGTGATATTGCCATGAATACCACGAGTGATATAAAATTTCAAAATTGTTCTACGTAATTTCACGAGCCGTTAGGCGAGTGAAATTTGAGACAATTTTGAAATATCACGTACAAATCATGCTATTATTTGTTTATACGACTACCCGCATAGGTTTTGTAATCTCCACATGTAGGTACTTCAAATTAAGCTGAAATACCACTGCTCTAAGCCAATCAAATTGGAGAAATTTCTCATGTAGTAGTTTAAACGCTGAAATTTCGCGCCAAAATTAAAGAGTAATTCGTCACCCATGATATTATTTTACAACTCATTTGTTGCCAGCTGTGTTAACTGTGACATGCGTGCTGTCGAAAGTTTTTTATTGTCAGAAAAGTAAGTTGAGAAAGGCCAGATTAGCAAGGTTAACTTTCCAAGAGAATCTGTTGATCGGACAAAAGAAAAGTGCCCGTTGTCCACATTTATAACATGTGTTCGTAGAGTGCAATTTAGACAAAATGTTCGGGCTTTCCTAAGGGGCTGTCCGTTTAGTGGGATTCCACTGCGTATGTCGGTATGTATATATCGGGATGTAAGATTATAGGATACTTACTGAGAATTAATAACAACAGATACGGCCTTTACACTGGGACATTCCGTACATTTTCCTTTCATTTTGATCACATACGTACTTGCAGGTACCTCCGATACCGTGGTATATGTAGCAACCAAGAGGTGGATTATCAACTAGAAATTAATAGCAACACACGATGATCAGACTATTAACCTAACACTGCCAGTTAGACCAGACTCGTATCCAGTCGCTATTTAAGTGTTTTTTGGGGTGAGAGAAGATTGGGGATTAGGTTGAGGCGCGCGCAGGGTCTCATGGGAAGGGAAGAAGGAAAAATAGCCCATGAGACCCTGCGCGCGCCTCAACCTAATCCCCAATCTTCTCTCACCCCCCAAAACACTTAAATAGCGACTGGGTACGAGTCTGCTTCTAGACTGTATAAATAGCATAGAGAGGAGAAGTCGTTGGATCACGTTGCCTTGGTTGCCATGGTTTCTGGGTCTCAACAAACCGTGGTCCTGCAGATATGACAGAAAATAGCGAAAAGGTTGACATGTCTGACTTTCCTGTGCATGATCACACTCAGGAACAAAACGGCAGCCCATACTTTTCTTCCATTGTTCGACAATGCAAATGGCCGTCTCTGTCAAGAAAGATTGTTGTAATCCAGAAATTTTGCTACAATGGTAACCTGACGTCACCCTTCTCCTCTCTATTACTTGTATTTTTATGTCTAAAAAATGTTATTGGGGTCGTCAATAATTTAAGACCGAGATGTCATAAGTAAGAAAAATATCACATCATGTTCTATTTGTAGATTGCGTGGGTTATGTCCTCATTTGGAAAAGATGATATTTTTGATTGGCAGACTGAAACTCGTAAGGTGTTCATTGCTTGTCGTAATTTGGTTGGTTGCTACGCCTAAACTCCTGTTACAAAAAAAAAAAATTCCGTGAACCGTGGGGACGAGCCGTTGAGCCGTTAAATCGCGCAACATGTACAGATGTTTTTTCAAAGAGTAGAACCCCTCTACTTTCTGCAACAAATGTTTGCAACCATCAAGAACCTGATTTGTTGCAAGGCAGGTTTGAACGCGGGTGGTAAAACAAGCAACAACGGTTTTCAACTCGTTTTCAGCAATGTTGCAAAACAAGTTGCACGTATTTGTTTTGGCCGTTTCACCACCGAGTTAAGCCCCGAATGTATGACTTTGTACAGCATGATTAAACGTGTACCGTGGACTTTTACTTTACGAACTCAACTTACTCGGCTGTTTGAAGCACCACCTAGCACCGGGCATTGTAACTGTTTCATCCCAGCAGCATGCTCTGTTAAGACATTCCTCCTTTGTTATCAAATAATATCCACATTCCACACGTTCAGATGGAGCCACGGGACAATGTCCATCAGGAAGATCTGTTCAGATTTTAACATTCGTATAACTTTAATTAACCAGTGATGATTCTTAACAAAATAATAGTTAGTATTTATAGTGGAGCTCTAGCGCAACGGAGCACCGTTGGTAAGAAAATTCGGTTATCCACGCATCTAAGAAATTTTGGTTCTGTGTCTTACCCTACATCAATGTTATGATCAATTAACAGCTGTTAACTGTCATAGAATACCCGCTCACCAGTGTCACATGACTTTATGGCGAGCTCAGGTGCACAACTGTGAGGAGACATGTTTTTTATAGTTTTCCGCAGACAAATCAAGGTATTCAAGTGATTGCAGGCTCAGAAAAATTTAGTTTTGAAAAAAAATCAATATATTATTTGTATTTAAAGCTTATTGTATCACGTTGCATTATCTATTGTATGGTACTGTAACAAAGGTGGGTTTCCATTTATGCAAATTTATCTTTAATTGTTTCAAAATGAAAAAAAACCTTTAACTGGAAAATATTTGGAAAAAAAAAAGCTCATGTATTAAAACAGTTGATAAAAAAAAGTCGTCCAATCAGGCAAGGGAAGTTATATGGATTTGGACAAAACGCACGTGAAATATTTCCCTTATTTAAGCGCGTAAGTTTGTGACGTGTTTCGAAAACTTGCGAGTATGGAGGCTTTTGAGTCGCAAAAACGCCGTAGCCTGCGAAAACATCCGTTTCTCCTCGCTCTTCGCCTCTGGGGACGTTTCGCGAGGAGGAACGTCTGCGACTCAGCGACAGAAATTCCATACTGGTGACGTAAAATCTGTCCGGAATCCGGTCAGAAGCGCTGATTGGTCGACGGAGTAGTGACATTGTTTTAGCCATTGTTTACGAATGACAGACAAAAGACAAAAGGCCACAAAGGTCAAATGTAAACGCGAAGAATCTCTAACAACACAGTCAATATTTGTGGAATATAGTCTTCTCTAGAAGAAGTATTTGAGTCTTGCTGGAGCTCGTTGGCAGATGAACACAACACTTCACCAAAATCGACCAGAAGACACGCAAAATTGGACAAAACCATGACTACCGGATTCATTATGTAAACATTGATTTGCGTCATCAATATGGAGAAATGGATGTTTTCGCAGGCTAAAACGCTGTTACCAAACTTTTTTACAGGGCCTCTCGGTCTCTCTTAGCTGCACTGTCACCTAATCAAAGCTTACGTGAGTTTCCTTTAACGTAGCAGAACTTTGCGTTTGGATCGCTGTTATCCCAGCAACAGCCTCTCTTCAAGCAGGTTTGTTCATCGATTCCCAGCCATCCACATTCATAACGGTTTTGAGATTGCACGTCACACGTAGGGGCTGTAAGTTACAAAACACAAGATAATTCAAAAATGCAAAGAATGTTAACGCTGTACTTTACGTTCCACCAATCAGGTTATTTACTCTCATAACTTTTTCTCCTGAGTATAGATCAAGATTGTTAGGAGAAAATTGATGCTGGTCACTATTACGGGAACTTGGAAATTGTTTTTTTTTTTTTTTTTTGAGGGGGGGGGGGGGGGGGAAATGGGGAACTAATGTTGCACCACTTTCACCCATACCCAAAGTGGAAAAACAAAACATTATTATTTCAAGTAACTTGGCAAAAAAAACGGACATTAATTTTGGGATAAAATTTC